AACGGCATTAACTAGGCTGTTCTCTCACTTCGCACCGCTTTTACGTCGGCTATTTCAACCCTGGAATGCGTGGAAAACATTCTGCCACGGCATGCGCATAGGGATTTGACATCAGCGGAGCGCGGAGTGCAGTGACGGGTCCGCGCGCCAGATGAATCTGCGCGCCAATATTCAGTGCGGAACTGCCGCAGTAACCCTGCGTACTGACTTCGGCGAATAATGGCGGAGCTTCGGCGATTCTCAGACTCATCTTGTCTGGTGATGTCGATCGGACGGCTGACCACATGCGGTGGGCCCACCCTGGCCACTTTATCATGGACTGTAGAAAACATCAATCAAACAAAAACTATCACTACAACAAAAATAAAATTGATTCTGTGTGCAATCGTTTAAGGTGGATAGGGACTAGGACCGCTCTCAAACGTGTTTGACCGAACGAAACCGCGTCAAACTAGCAGTGATGCATTCATTGGGACGCTTCGTTAGAGATCTCCATCGGATACAGGTCCTCGCTTAGGTCACGAATGGGGCCGTGTAGAATGCCTTGTTCGTAATTCTTTCAAATTTCTAATACAGCTTGTTTCTAACGACAGATGGCAGCAAGAAAACTTTTCCTCCAAATTGCTGATACATCACTCCACCAGCTAGGAGGAAGGAAGGACTCCGCCACATGGTCGCTTTGCGTATGGCTGATACTAATATTTTAGATCACGAGACAATACGACTGGATCCAGAGCATTACTGCCAGTATTACCACTTGGTTTGGAAAATTCCGTCGCACATGGGCAGAGTGCGGACGTGCAGTGCTATGCACATGGGCGGAGTGCGGACGTACAGTGCTATGCACATGGGCGGAGTGCGGACGTGCAGTGCTATGCACATGGGCGGAGTGCGGACACGGATTTTATAATTTTGTAAGTACATTCTTAGAACAGGAAGACATTGAAACTCCAGAAAGATAACGTAGCATAAAACGATCAGCTCAAAATCGCTGTCACATGCAGTATCCTACCCAATTAGAGTCAATCCTTCCGAATCCTAAACGCACAGAAGAGGAGGCACAAACCGCAACCCACAGTGAGCGGGCGAACTAAACTAGATTAAGGGTAAAGAATGCACATAGTCTCGCAATATGTCCACAAAGCGAGCCTTGGTGAAGACCATTAGTCGTCCAAACTTCTTACTCAACCGCCCTCGACTGAGCGTTGCGAATTATTTGGAAAAGAGCTGCACAGCCCAGGAAGAAGCAAAATCAGAGTCTTATTCCATTGTTGAGTCAAGTTCAATTCATGTGCGTGTCGTTAGCAACCAAACACTTACACGAGCCGATGACAACGAAGATGAAGAAACCGAGAACCCAGACGCTGACGGGGAACTTCTCACTCCGTTTCGTGACGCTGTCAGGCACGTTCCCTCGTTTTGTAATGTTCTTGTGAAAAGCAGAGTTCTTCTTCTCAGCCAATCGCTTGGAGGTCGTCTGCAAGACCAAAGTGCACGCTCGTTGTCAGATTCTAACCAGAGAACTCGAACGATCAAGAACACGCAAGAAGCCTCTAAGAATTAGGTAAGAATCAAAGTACTAACCATTCTGCACGTGTCGTTGACAACCTGAGGAGGCAAACAGGCTCCAGGCTAACAGGAAAGGCTGAAAGAAACGGCTTGAGAAACTGGAAACTGGTCAGCTGAACGAAATGACAGCTGCAGGGGATTCCAGCTTTATGAAAGCAACTTCAACCCAGCCTCGCTCATTGCCAGCCAAGGATCAGAGAGTGCCTTGCTTCTGCTCTGACCATTGAAGCACAGCAGCTGAGAAGCAGGTTCGACTTGGCGGGAAGGTCCGCTCACCTACCACTTCAACCAACCATCACCGCTGCAAGGCTCGGCCTTGGCTCTGGCGGAGCTAGGGTGTGACAACCGCATCCGAGGTTCAAGGGCAGGACGAACGTATGCGAGGGGTTCGGGCTACCCAACGATCGGGAATGATGCACATGCCTTCGAGCGATTCGTCAAACCTTCCAGAACGCGTTTGTGCGACGGAACCAGTCGACGTCGCACGTGCAAGACCTGACAGTTTCGGAATCTCACCACAAATACAACAATACACACCGATTTAATGGTTGTTGTAAGGAAAATTCATTTTCCTTACTTGGCGTCCCTGCTCAGCGCGTACACCACTATTCCCGCCAACAGCACCCCACAATATTCCGTTACCACTCGCGACATTCGCCTCGACATCATTCCCGCCACTGTTCACGATGCGACCCAACCTCACGGTTCGGTTGGTAACCCGCGCTCCGGACCTCCGCCTCGACAGTCCCCAACCTCAGCACCAGGCCCATCGCGCACCCCATTTTCACACGTTACAGTTATCACCGTAGCTTCGCTATATATTATTCGCTCAATCCTTTCGCTCATTTGTATTCTTGTCTCGATAGTGCAATCCTCGCCCAATCACTCAATTGCACTCGTAACACTTGGTTATCAGAGCCTACGAACTTCTCTCGGATTGCATCCACACCTTCACTTCCCCGCTATCTCAATTTTTGGGGGGGGGGGATAGACGTCTCTAAGCGACCAAGCGCCGCCGCTCGTAGTGCTCTCTCGTAAGCACGCACGGCCAGCACGACAAAGGCTCTCGCTGAACTTGCCCGACACCCCCGCCATGGCAGAACTCAATGTCGCGACATTGACACAGAAGCAGCTAGACCGGCTTATGCGCCAACTCGAAGAATCGGCGCTTGAAATCGCCACACTCACGGCGGAACGCGACTCCGCTCGCCAACAATCGACCGTGAATGCACCAGCACCAACAAACGCACCGACACACTCCGAGGAGCCGATCGTTATCTCCTCCGGCACACCGACACAGAACGACAGCGTGGGACAGCGCTCAGGCGTAGCCAGTGAGGGCGCCGCTCACTCGATGCCTGGCATGGAGCGAAACAGAGTCACACCAAGCCCACGGGAGCCCCGCGAAGCCAGTCGGCACGTGGAATTTGCAGCGACAAGTGGCGAGTACGCCATCATGGCACCAATGCCATTCAAGCCGCAGCGTCCGCCCTGTTTTGACCCAAGCCAACGTGGGGGTCCGACGGTTCAGTCGTGGGTCTTTACGATGAACGTATTCTTCGACGCGAACTACGTCGAGTCGGACACAGCGAAGATCCGCTACGTTGTTTCGCTGCTGAGGGGCCCTGCCATGGACTGGTGGCGAGTCATCGTGACGTCGCCACGCGCCTACGAGCCACCGTCGCAAGAAGACGGGCCCACGGGCCCAGCCGTCACCTGGAGTTCATTCTGCGAGACAGCCCAGTACAGCACGTGGGATGCGTGGTGCGCAGGGCTTCGGGCGCGTTTCGAGCCAATCGCGGCCTCGATTTCGGCACGTCAGAAGCTGCGCACTTGGCGGCAGCTCGGGTCGGTTCAAGATTACACGAGCGGTTTTCTCGCACTATGCGAACAAGTTGGCTATATGCACGAAGCAGAGCGGGTGGACCGTTACGTCGGAGGGCTAAAGCCGGACATCTCGCACGAAATTATGCTACGCGGGCTCTCGAATTTCAACGAGATCCTCGTGCTCGCCGAGAAAATCGACATCCTACGACGACCGAGACCGGGGTCCTACTACGGACAACGTCCTCGGGGACCGATCGAGCACGCCACCGTGCACGCCGTTGCGACAAATGCAGCTGCCGCAACGTTTGAGGGGCGCTGCTTTGCTTACAATAGGCCGGGCCATCGCAAGAGTGAATGCCCAGAGGAGCTAAGGCGCCACGGAACAGAGCAGGGGCGAGAGTCTCAGAGGCCGGGAAACGCCAGCAGTCAATAGAAGTTGGGCCAACTACTGACGAGACTGCCTGCTCGCCCAACTTCACCGACCCTCACCGAGTCACAGTACCGATTCACGCTATCGATCGGGCTCAGACGAATAAGGAGGGTACAGCGACGGATTGCCCAGTACCGCTGGCGAGGAGACGAAGCTGATGAACGGACGGCGTCCATACGAAGCATTCCGCCATGGTAAGTTGAGGCAATGTTTTCATCACTTTGCATATTGAAACCTTGAGTGATGTTTCTTCATCTTCTTCTATTTTGTTAGCATTCAGTGAATGTTCAGGTACTAATGCCGTCCGGTTTGACCTGTGCAGATCCAAGGCCTGCTCCTACTGCACCTGAGCCTGAGGCCAAGGAAACAACTGCTACACTGCTGCTGAGCGACTGCTGCCGAGCGACTGCTGCCGAGCGACTGCTGCCGAGCGACTGCTGCCGAGCGACTGCTGCCGAGCGACTGCTGCCGAGCGACTGCTGCCGAGCGGCTGCTGCCGAGCGACTGCTGCCGAACGACTGCTGCACCTGAGGCTGAGGAAACGACTGTTGCCGAACGACCGAGGCGAGGAGGAATGGCGCCACTGCTGCCGCACCGGAGGAACTTGTGAGTTGCCTTCTCTACGTTGCCTTTTCTAGGTTAGCAGAATCTGATCTTCAGTACTTTCAGTTTTGGAAACCTGAATAATGCTCTTTTATTTGTTGCTTCTATAGGAACTCCATTATCTAGTCACTGATGCTGACCACTGCTCGCCTCTCAAGGGAGCTGGCGAGTGGCAAACTGCAGGCTGGCACACGCCATACGTGGGGAGTAGCAGCGAGGGGGAAGCAGCGAGGGGGAGGCAGCGAGGGGGAGGCAGCGAGGGGGAGGCAGCGAGGGGGAGGCAGGGACGGCTCTGGTAGCAAGCAAGGCCAGGATGCGACGCGATGACGCGAGGAGGCGAAGGTGCTGACTTGCGCAGCTGAGGAGGCGAGGAGGCGACAAGGAGGCAAGGGGCTGCTGGCGAGGAGGTGAGGCGTGGTTGAACCTGCCTCCTTCTCCCACCTGCGACCCAACTTATATGAGTTCCCTACCCGCCCAGCTTATATGTGTTTTCTCCCTCACCACCCCACACCCTGGTCGGCCCTGCCACCCTCTCCCACCTGCTCTCACCGCCTTGTTTTCTTTGGAAGCAATGCCATGGATATTCTCTGCCCTGGCTGGTTCATTGTCCCTATCGCTTTTCTCGTGCGCTGGCTCACCTCCTTGTCTCCACGTGCTCTCCTCCCCGTCCTTGCAGAGGCACATAGCTGAGGTGACACTGGGGCACAACGCATGGGCGTGGGGAGGCCAGGAGCTGCAGAGGAGGTGCAGAGGAGAGGAGGTGCCAGAATCACTGACTGGCGGACGGACGGACGGGCTCCTCTGCCATTCACCTTGTAAGTTGCCCTCCACCACTCGTTCCGCCCTGGTGCATTGAAACGCGTCCTTTTTTCCTGTTTTTGTCAGATCTGAATAGCCAGGGACTGATGCTGTGCTCTGTGACTTGTGCAGGTCGCCCACGCACTTGAGGCGAGGAGGCAGAGGTAGCTACGGGGCGGTGGGATGACGCACGGCCTGGGCGTGCCCTGCTGACCACCACTGTCCCTGCATGCACCTCCCAGCAGCAACATTGAGGCTTGGATTGGACATTGAGGCTTGGCCATTGGACATTGAGGCTTGGATTGGACATTGAGGCTTGGATTGGACATTGAGGCTTGGATTGGACATTGAGGCTTGGAATGGACATTGAGGCTTGGATTGGACATTAAGGCTTGGGTTGGACATTGGCTAGCTAGGGGCAGTGCCCTGAGGCAAGCGGGCAGAGGCCCGAGTGTGTGAGGCACACGTGGCAACGGCAGGGGCGAGCTCGACTGGTGAGTGCATGCTTGCAGCAAGGTGTGTGCACGGGCGTGGGTACGCGCTCGTGCGTTGCCGCAGCCCCTTCAACGCACCACCTTCGGGAGTGACAAGACCCCGCCTTGCTGCAGACTGCAGCGCCTCCAGCGCCCCACACTCACGGTACGTCGCTCGTCGTGTTCCCGTCTTTCCTTGTCGCTGCTGTCTCTTCATTCTTCGCTACGTTCGCTTCCTTGCTTGCTCACGGTTCCTCGACTTACCACCGTGCTTGTTGTTCCATGCAGCGCACTCAACGTAAGTGCATGCAAGGGGAGGGGAAGCGCATGGGCGTGTGGCTGAGGTGGACGGCACGTGGCTGAGGTGGACGGCACGTGGCTGAGGTGGACGGCGCATGGCTGAGGTGGACAGCACGTGGCTGAGGTGGACGGCGCATGGCTGAGGTGGACGGCACGTGGCTGAGGTGGACGGCACGTGGCTGAGGTGGACAGCACGTGGCTGAGGTGGACGGCGCATGGCTGAGGTGGACGGCACGTGGCTGAGGTGGACGGCGCATGGCTGAGGTGGACGGCGCATGGCTGAGGTGGACGGCACGTGGCTGAGGTGGACGGCACGTGGCTGAGGTGGACGGCGCATGGCTGAGGTGGACGCGAGCGTGTTGGGATGACGCACGGCCGGCAGTCACAGGCGTGTGGCTGCCTCCTACCCGCCCTGCTAACCACGCGCTCGTAGGCAAAGCGCGGAGGAGCAGGCAAGGAGGCGGCGCTGCGACGAGGCATCTTTCATGGCTACGTGTGCTGGCTTCTCCCCCTGCGTCCATGGGGTGAGGCGGAGGAACGAGACGGAGTGACTGACGGGCGGAATTGAGGCGATTACAAGGAGGGGTGCTGTTGAATGGAGAGTGAGAGTCATGCAGAGACGAGGGGCGGATGGGCTCGGTCATTTGAGAGTGGGGGGCCCCAACTCTCTCTTGGTCTTGTCCTGAAGCATGGGGCCACCTTCGGCCTCTGCGGCTACTCACATACCTCCAGCACCTTGGCCCTTGGATCTGTCCTCTTCCATGCCTCTGTCCCATGTCCTCCTGACCCGCACTCCGTCCTCACTCCTCCCCCTTCCATTCCCTTCAGTTCGGGCCTTCATGTGGAGCGAGGAGGGCGAGGGGGCAGCGCGGCGGGGCAGCGAGAGGAGCTTATCTGCTTAATCCCCGCCTTCCTTCCCTTCAGGTCGACTCGTGGGGCGAGGAGGGCGAGGGGGCAGCGCGCGCGCATCAAGAGGCGTCCCTCTGCTTAACCCCTCCCTTCCATTCCCTTCAGCATGGCGGGCAGCGTGGGGACGACACGGCGGTGAGGTGCTGCTTCATCGCTGCAGCGAGGTAACCTTCTTCCCTTGTCCGTTTTGTCTTGCTTTCTTTCTCAGTTTTGTCTTGCTTTCTTTCTGTTTTTCGCATTACATGTATTCATCGCGCCTGTTTCACTTGATCGTGTGTTTGTCTTGTGTTGTTTGTCGCTCTGCAGCTGGCAGGTGTCCAAGACCGAAGACCGCCTCCGACTGCGGCATAGGTGTTGTGCGGCAGGGGTTGCTGACGGCGTTGGGACGGACGCCTCCCGCGCCTGAAGCGCCCCTGTGTGTGAGTTGAGTGTTTTGACGATGGATGGGGGGACGCTCCCTGAAGTCTGATGGCCTCCTCACCCCGCCTTCACCTGGCCAGGTGTTACGCCACCTGGTCTGAGTTGGGCTTGTGGGACGCTGCAGCCCGGCTCGTGTCGTTTAGGGGCTGCGGTCCCACACGAAGGGTCCCCACCTCAACGCGGTGTGTGGTTGTAACACTAGGGGTTGACCCCCCTAGTGGCCAAGAGGGGCCCAGAAGACCGAAGACAGTGGGAGCTCTGTAATTGCTTAAATGATATTACTACTAGAACTAGGTACCTAGTATATAATTGCTTATTTGAGGGTAGATTCATGCATGTTTTAGAAATTATATCAGACAAATAACATACAAGCACTGACATTTATGTGCATAGGATTCAGATCCTAGTGTTTCAGGGAATCGATAGACTTACAGAGCAACATGTATCAGAGGTCTGACATGCAACAGAGAGCTTCATCTAGTTTACCATTCAACAGAGAACTTAATAGTTTAACATGCACCGAGCACTTGGTGCAGTAGAGCAGAGGCGCACATAAACAGTGGCCTCTGTGCTGCTGTGCCGACGCTAAGCTTTTTCCCCTACTCTATACCCTGTACTACACACCTCCCCTCCGCTACAGCCGAGTGCAGGCAAAGTCAAAGTCGTCAGGAGCAAGCCGCGTGAGCCAGTTGCTGAGCGTGCTCTTGGCATTGAGCATATCAGACGCCGCCAGCTCGTACATGGAGCACAGGTTGAGCACCACTGTCTCGTCAACAGCTGTCAGCGGGCTCGCCTGCAATTGGTCCTCCAGGACCCGCACCGCCGTTGCGAGATCTCGGCCGTACATCAGGCAGAGGGCCTGCTTGGCAGGGTTGTGCAGATAAGAGCAATAAAGGCGGATGAACTGGGATGAAGACGGATGGAACCATGTGAAGTGCAGCAATGGGGATACATCTGATGTAACTTGATTACCACATCACCTGTACCCTGTGAAGTGCCTTCTGCGTTGGCAGAATCACCTGGTCACCCCACCATGTAACCTGGTTACCACATCGTCTCAACTTATTGTTGGCATGGCAGCAATGGGGTTCGTGAGGTCCCCCTTGGTAAGAGTAGAGCTGCAGCGCCTGCCCATGCTCCTTGCGAGTTAAGTGCCTTACAGACAAATCTGTACACTTGGGTTGGGAGAAGAAGCTGGGGGCAAATGTGCTGGGAGCTGGGAGTATATGTGCTGGGAGCTGGGAGTATATGTGCTGGGAGCATATGTGCTGGGAGCTGGGAGTATATGTGCTGGGAGCAGATGTGCTGGGAGCTGGGAGTATATGTGCTGGGAGCTGGGAGTATATGTGCTGGGAGCATATGTGCTGGGAGCTGGGAGTATATGTGCTGGGAGCATATGTGGTGGGAGTATATGTGGTGCATATGTGGTGGGAGCATATGTGGTGGGAGCGGGGATACGTGGTGGGAGCGAGACCGGGTGAATATGTGTACTGAGTGTATGTGGTGGGAGCGAGACCGGGTGAATATGTGTACTGAGTGTATGTGGTGGGAGCGAGACCGGGTGAATATGTGCACTGAGTGTATGTGGTGGGAGCGAGACCGGGTGAATATGTGTACTGAGTGTATGTGGTGGGAGCGAGACCGGGTGAATATGTGTACTGAGTGTATGTGGTGGGAGCGAGACCGGGTGAATATGTGTACTGAGTGTATGTGGTGGGAGCGAGACCGGGTGAATATGTGTACTGAGTGTATTTGGTGGGAGCGAGACCGGGTGAATATGTGCACTGAGTGTATGTGGTGGGAGCGAGACCGGGTGAATATGTGTACTGAGTGTATGTGGTGGGAGCGAGACCGGGTGAATATGTGTACTGAGTGTATGTGGTGGGAGCGAGACCGGGTGAATATGTGCACTGAGTGTATGTGGTGGGAGCGGGGATACGTGGTGAGAGCGGGGATACGTGCTGGGAGCGGGGATACGTGGTGGGAGCGAGATTGAGTGGGTGCGTGTGTGAGTGCTGCCTGCATAAGTCTGTAAGAATGGTGCTCTGTTCGCATGAAGTGCATATCTCACCTGAAGTGCACATCTCACCTGAAGTGCACATCTCACCTGAAGTGCACATCTCCTGTCAGCATGGCAGTGGTGCGATCATACCACTCATGTTGAAAACAAGTGTCAGAAGCAAGTCCCCTCTGCTTCAGCTGCCCCCTCTGCTCAAGTTGCATGCTCTGACCTGCCAATGACCCAAGGAGAGAAGATGGATTCCGTTGTAAATGAATATGCAGCGCGGTGCAGTGCGGTGAGAGCACAAGCATGTGAGAGCATGCGTGTTCACAAGCATGTGAGAGCACAAGCATGTGAGAGCACAAGCATGTGAGAGCACCTGCTGTCGGCACCTGCTGTCGGGACTCGGGAGCGCCATGCAGAGGCTGCGGCTGAGACCGGCCGAGCGCCATCCGCGGAGCGCCATCCGCCGAGCGCCATCCGCCGAGCGCCATCCGCGGAGCGCCATCCGCTGAGCGCCATCCGCTGAGCGGCACCTGCTGTCATCAGCACCCTGCCTGACGTAAGAGCCCCATCACCACGGGCATGCAGAGGCAACGGTGACGATGCGCGACGGGACGGAGGAGAGAAGCATCTGATAGAGAGATTCTACGGCCATGTGCGGACGGCCGCCCAGGGTGAACTCAACTACCCGTTAATGAGCTGAGACCTTTGGTTAACTCAGCCACCAAGATCGATAATGACTAATACGCTGAAACAGTTAAAAAGCTGAGGCCTTTCGAACGGAAAGGGCGACGCTACCGGTTGCTTTTGAGGCGCCTCGAAGCAGTGCTGCCCAGGACGGGCGGATCGGGAGAGACGACGCGGCGCGCGCTTCACGCGAGTGCATACCGTGTAGATTCAAGGATTGAATAATGCTGGAATCGAGTCGCGCTGGATTTGGGAATTAGGTGACGGTAATGAGGTACCACACGCTCTGGGACGAGGTAAGGAGCATTGTGATGTGGTCCAATAACATGGAGAGGAGATTTCATGAAATCAGGTTCAAGCTGATTGTCACTTGTTCCCGAAAATATATCACTCGTTATCACCACTCGTCGTTCATTACCTAAAGGTGATCATCTTCGTAACTAATGACCTTTACATGATTTGATTCCTTATTCAATCAACGTTTCCCTCACCTACAACTCGCTTCTTGTGGTAACCACCTCTGCTGTGTGCTGTATTCGATTCGCGTGGTAGTTTCGCATTCGCTCAAGGCTGAGGGTTGCTGCATCCTGATTGGCGCATCTCAAGGACCATCAACAAGGACACCCAGGTAGTGGGCGGGGATGCGCGGGGGCGAGGGCGGGGGTGGGGGGGAGGGGATGCGCCCAAATGTGACGGGCGCAAATTTAGTGAGGCGCAAAAATTAAAGCCGTTGACCCAAATTGCACAAGTTTTAAAGCCCGCGTCCCAAATTGCGGGCCGCGAGGGTCAAGTTTTTAAAACTTGACGAAGTTGAGTGTCCAAGCTTTTGAAAGTCACGCACTTGCAATTTGGGACTTTCGAAGACAGATTCACTCACCAGGGGGAAAACCGAGGGTTGGCTGGGTCTCGCGAAAAAAACGAACCTAGACGAAATCGGAAACTCTCGCCAAAGCCCACACCAGAAAAACTCCCTCTGGTCAACTTTTAAAAGCATGAACAATTTGGGCCGCCGGCGGCCGAACGTGATTGTGGGCCGAACGTGAATGCGCTAATTTACACCTTACTGCATTTAGCAACCTCTTGATCTTAGATTCTATCTTCTGTGAAACCCGATTTCAAAGTTTGTTTTGGAGGTAACATCGAGTCGACCGTCTTCATAAGTTCAGCGGTCGAAGTCAGTTTTTTACTTGAAACGGTTACTGACTCACAGCTTCTCATATTCAGACTCGTTACGATGCCGTCATCGCTTCGTATACGAGATAGAAGCCGCGCAGTGGCGAACAAAGTCGCAAGCTGTGAGTGAGGAAATTTACCACGCATGAAATCCGACGTAAACGTTTTCCATGAGTCATATAATATCTGACATCATGCGGATTTCGCGTCGCATGTCTAAGTCGCACAGCTTGCTTGTTTCAGTGTCCGGTCGCTGTATGTTCCTGTAAATTAGTGGCGAATAGTAAGCTTGAAAAAAAACTCCTTTCTGCGATAACAGGGGACGTGGTGACTAAAGCCATGGACCGCGCCTTCCTGGAACTTGCCGAGCTGGACGGCAAGAAGGACGAGGAGGGGCGTCCGGTGATTAACGTGCCGGAGCTATACACCGACGTGCTGCTCGTGTACAAGTGCGTGGGTGGTGTACAGTGTACAAGTGAATGCGCCATGATCTGTCCTGTATGAATGTCCTAATCGTCTCCATTGTTTTTTTACATATCACAACCCATGAGCATCCTTCTCCTCCTCCCTTCCCACACGCACCATCCCCCTCTCCCGTCCACATTCTCCTCTACCTGACACACTCACCCTTCCCCCGCGATTCCCCCACTCCATGCACTTCCGACCTCCTTCTCCTTCTCCCCTCTGATTCTTTTTTCCGCACTCCAGCTACGTGAATCGCTACTCGCCGGGGAGTTATTTGAGCCCACCAAAGAAGAAGGACGTTCTCAAGCTGGTCAAGGTGTGCTTCCGCCATTGTTGGGTCATTGCTTTGTCTTCACACCCTCAATGTGGCACTTAGCCAGACTCTCCTCATGCGCTTGAACAGCCATTTCGCTGTGATACTGGTTCAGCTCTGCTTCTGTTGTTTTCTAGCTCAGATATTGTTGCATTCCCCCGTTGTGTTCCTCGTCTTGAGCAGAAATTCGACCTCAACAATGACGGGGTCATAGACAGGGAGGAATTCGGTCTTTTCCTCCGGCACTTTGTGAAGCATCTCCTGAGAAACATTATTATCAACATTCTCGTCATGCTCACTGTGATCCCGTTCCTATGCTACTTCACATGCAAGGCCATGGGAAGGTTCGTTCCCGAATCCCTCCTAGCCACCATATTTACATCCTTGTTTAAGATGTCTGGCATATGGAATAGGACAGGCGTCTGAGTCTCAGATGCAATGGGACGCTCCTTCTAGATTCGATTTTTTGGTGATTCAGCACATATGGACTGCAGCACTGATGAGTGGGCTGGGCTATGCCGATTCGATTGCTGCTTCTGAATGGTATTATGTGTACAGACGAACTGAGTGCATTATGTCTAGTGAATGTGTACAGAAAGTGTGCATGACTGCTAACAAATAAGCTCTCTACTTTTGTGCTGGCTTTGTGTGAATGTACATGCACCTATGATCACAAATTACTGAGTCCCCCAACAACTTCTCAAGGATCTCTAATGGAGAATTCAATAGGGATTCAGCGAGCAGCATTTGACCGACAACACCAACCCACATTTCGCCTCACTCCATCCAGAGGGGCCAACCATTTGCCGATTCCAGCCCCCAAAAAAGGCAGGGAGGGGTGTCAATCAGCGACGATGATTGGAGGGGCCTTGGCTCTGGCGTTTGCGAAAGCGTTACACCTTTGCAACCGACACTTCAGTCGTCTTCACGATAGCGCGAGTCCTCATCGCCAGCTCGCCAACACACATCGACAATGCTTTCCCAGTGGGCCGAAACGAGGAGCGGCGCGACAGGATGGAGGATGCAATCGCATCTCATGCAATCGCCTTGTTCCCAAAATATGGCTGGAAAAACATCTCTGTTTTGTGAAGCCGTGACCGAGGAGAGCAAGTTTCTCTCCAGCGACGCATGGCGTGCATTTTTCCGTACTACGGAAAAGTTGTTTACCTTTTGTCGTTCGTGGCATCGCCCGAGACCACCCCATCTGTGAGGTTAGCCGACCAGCGTTACGTTCAACGGCATGTCCGTACACACAACTAAGGGTCTCTTCGTACATAGCGCAGCTCGCGCGCATAGCAAAAATTCGCAATCGCGTAGTTGTTACTCAATTGACGCGTAGTACTATGGCAAGTAAATACGAGTATATGAGAACATGCATAGTAATTTTTTTTTTTCTAAGAAGCTCCCAAGCCACGAATCTCCCCGCGAACGGGTGTCACGTCCAAGCCGTGTGTTCCCGCCTCCACAGCTTCCGCGATGTGACTATAACGGAAGGAAACTTCACGGACCTCACGCTGATTGGACATTACAGAGGCCGGTTCAACATTCAGGGTGGAAGATACAAGGCGCACGAGGCGGGGTCAGGCCCGCTAAACCTCGAAGTCTATCAGGTGCGGAGCGAGGCGCTTTGCTCGTACTGATTTGCATCGACTCCAAGTCGTTGTTTGGCGTCACTGTTAGCAGCTTTCAAAGCATCGTGCTTCGTTTGCGGCTGAATAATTCTCTAAGTTCCTCCCACGTCTTAAATTCGGCTGGGAAACATTTCCTCGCATTTTCTTAATAATTTGGTGAAATTTGGGCTTCACAGGAACAGTTTAAAAAATCGTTGTCGCGTAATCGTGCGCTACAATTTTGTGCCTCGAATTTCTACTACGTCTTCCCAATAAACCAACTTACAACGAATTCACTGATGTGTTACAGGAGGTTGGTAACCACGTGGACATCGTGCGGGGCGACAGCGGGGGAACGCTGGAGAGCTGCTGCAGAGCGTGCGCGGGCGACAAGGACTGCCACGCCTACCACTTCTTCCCAAGCAAACGGCTAGCCGACAATGCTAACGTGCGGGGCTTCATTGACGGCGTGCAGTGCTACCTGCTGGAGAAGAGCGCGGGGTCCGGACGGACAGCGGGGCTCAGACATCCTTATAGCGGGGATGAAAGAGAGCAGGATGCTATGGTCGCATACTACCCACTCAGCTGGTATGTACCCCTGGAAAAGCTTATCCGACTTGCACCTGGCACTGCATGTGCTCTCATAGCTGGCAATCCTGCGGCATACAAGGTGTGCTGAACGGTGCCTGTGTTGGAGGAGGTATACAATGTTGTATGGTGCGTGCCCTTTACAAGGTATATTTTACCGTATGTGTCGAAAATGCTGTATTTAATATGATTATATGTGTGGCTGTCTTATTGGCATGTGGTGGAGCCATCATGCCTCCACACATCTGTCAAGCATTTCTCCATCCCCTTGCGCCATGACCCCCGGCAGGGTGGGAGGCTCATGCGACACGTCTCGCCTGGACAACTCCGACCCGCACATCACAGGCGCGCACGGGACCCTCTTCGACTTCCCCGGGCAGCTCGGAAAATACTTCTGCTTGCTTGCCGACCGTCGGATCCACATCAACGTGCTACTGCAGAGCCACCAGGGACAAGAGTCTGCTGCAGCGGCGGCGCTAGCAGCAGCAGGCATGCCGAGGAGAGTGGCAGAAGGGAGTTTGCATGTGTGGGTGAAGGAGGTGGGAGTGGTGTGGGTGTCAGGTGCATCTGGCGGCAGGCAGCACTCTCTGCGAATGGTGGCGCGCTCAGGCAACCAGCAGGACAGGGGGGCCCACGGCTTCCTCGCTCTCATGCAGGTGGACGGTGCTGACGTGGCACCGCCACGTTTCCATGATGACCTGGCAGTGGTGGGAGCAGATGGAAGTGTGGAGATAAGAAAGACGGCAGAGGATGAGGATGGGCCTTTCGATGTGGATACGTATGAAGTTGCGATTGAAGGGTTGGGAAAGGTGCGTGTGAGCATGAGGGTTGCCCACCCTTTGCTTCAAACGCCAGAGGAAGCTGAGGCGCATTTCAACATCTGGGTAGCTGAACTGCAGGTAAGAGGGGCGACTGTGGTGTCATTCAAATCATGTCATAGCGTAGGTCCGTGTGTGCTGCTGGATCGTTCATTCGGCAGAATCCAGGACATGACTGACTTTCTTCTCATATACTTCTTCTGGATTGTGCAGACCAGCTCATCTGTCCAAGGGGTGCTGAGTCAAGCTGTAACTAGAGGGAACCTAGACAACCTAGGAAGCCATGGCACCTTGACGTACACTCATCTGTCGGATCTGCTTCACTACCCAGCACCCGGAATAAGAGACATCGGCCAGCCACCCATGCACAGGACTGCACTTGACTATGCGACCCCGTCAATTTTGAGTACAAGTTGCAGGATTGGAGCTATATAGATTGGGTAAGTCATGCCACTAACTAAACTAACACCATGATTGAATGCACGTAGGCCTATAATGTCCAATAAGCCGCAGCCCTATGCCGCCATGGCCTCTTATCTGCAATAAAAATAGTCCTTCATATTGTTCAGTATCACATGATGGATCAAGAGGATTGTACGAGCACCAAGGGGATGAATACCTTTGTGTAAGCGTTCTACATGATCTCTATCTGGAAAATGATACGAAGCATTTATAAATCATATGTCAGCAAGTTCCACCTTCACTAAACCATACCAAACCAAAGAAGATCACCTACCATTAGAAATTCTCTCAAAAGCCCCATCAAGAAAATCAATGTCAGAAGGTTGGACTGAAATCGAAGCCACATTGTAAACTTATCAAAATTATCATCCGCCGCACCCTGGGCGCTGGCCTGCCATTCCCAAAGCCCAGCCTTGGGCTCTCCCTTCCGCCTCGCCCCTCTCCGCGCGCTTCCCCTCCTCGCTCTGCTCCTCTGCTCCGCCCCCCTCCCCCTTGTCGCCTCTCTTCCTGCCTCGCCTCTGCCACTGAGAGCTCAAGCACAAGTCACACAAAACCAGGAATGGTGGTTTCACTCAACTGCTAGTGCGGAAGCCATGACAGCAGCTGGAAACCTCAAGCTCGGCTCCCTTGCCTTGAAGCATAGCGTTCGCACAAGCGGTTTTTTTGGGCGATTGTGACGCGCCTTCGGGTCGCTGCGGCCTGGTGTGATTCATTGCGACTCTTATCTTTCAGTAAGCCCTCTGTTCCGCCTGCGGATATGGGAGTTCCATGGCTGTTCCGGGCCCATCTTAGAGCCTTTCAGACACTCTTACATGTATTTAATTGGCTGTTAGAGGCATCCAGTCGTCGGCTGTGAGGTCCCTGGCGCCTCTAGAACCCTAGATGTGTGCTCAGATCGGACTTACTAGATCGGAATTTCTGAATATGTAAGGCCTTACCTGCTGGTCCAGCAGCCCGGACATGCTAACCCTAATTTTAATATAGTCGAAAATGCGTCGTCCGAGGCCCATTAAACATTTCTCCGATGCGTTCCCGCGTCAAATCCATCCGCAGAGACCGCATACGGAGGCCTAATTTCCGGTTTTACGCAAGCACTTAACCTGTTGGAGCGTAACCCTAATTTAAGAAATCCTGTTGTTTTAGGAGAAGTAAGCGGCAGGCCACATGTCGGATGGCCGGTAGGTGGGGTTTCAGATCTTCCTCAGCCCAGCATCGCACTTGCTGATCACGCATTGTGTCTGGCCTGTGGTCACTCAGAGCAACCCGCGTGGTCGCCTTAACGCTAGAAATTGTCGCGCGTTCGGTCCGTCTGGCATCCTTCCCTCCGACTAGCGTCGTTTGTCACTTCCTTTTGGCGGAGAGCTCGACGATCAGGCCCCAGACCGAGATCTGATCACTACTTCAAACATTAGTGCAGGGCCGCGCAGGGATCTAAGAATAGGCGCGTTTACGCGATCATATGTGGATTTGAGACATCTTACAGTCCGAAATTATTCCGGGCTCCTCCGTTTCGGGAATTTTGCACCTTTGCTTGCACTATCACCTCAGTCATGACCCAGGATTCCATGTTGTTCGCCTTGGCCTAACGGCTTTTCCGCCTGGTGTCTCCATCCTTGTACTTCCACTGCCCCGCGTGCCCTCAGCGTGTATTTAACGTTTTCTCAAGCTTCAGAAGATCGAATCTTCAAGGGCGGCTCCGCTCCCTTCGCTTCCTCGACCTCGGGTCAACGCCACAATAGGCTTGCTGTAGGGCATTGTGCGCTGCACTCATTCTCGGGTTCCTATAGCGCGTACAACGGGACCTGGTGCGGGCGACATGAAGCCCGAGGACGACGGCAGTGGGTCGGGCAGTTCGGGCGGGAGCGATCGGTCGGGCAGCGGCAGGAGGAGAGGGCAGGGGGACGAGGAGGCCGGGTATGAGATGGAGGAGGACGAGGAGCGGTCGGAGGAAGACGAGGAGGAGGATGAAGCAGGTACGCCTGCCTCGATCCCCTTTGTTAAGCAACCGTGCCGAGGTTGTTAACTGCTTCGTGCCGTTTTGAAACACCTGCTGCTGTGGTTCCGTGCTCGTGGTTCGCGGACTCGTGTGAATGCCACGCCGTGCTGCCTCGTGAAATGCGGATTCGTTAACCATCCGCGCCTTCTTGTCCCCTGGTCTGCGTCTGTGCAGGCGACGACCCGGACGACGAGGATTTCGACCCCACCAGCTGCGCGCCGAATGGGCAACTGGCGCGGCGGGGGAAGGAGGTGAGCGCGGAGGGAGAGGGAGGTGAGCGCGGACAATTTCGGGATTTTGTTTTCACCTTTTGCTGCGCAAAGTAGCCCCTGCCGCCCTTCGGTTCTGACTCACACGTTGTTCTTCTGCCTCGCCCGTCCGCTGCTGTCCCATATCAGGGCGACGCTGAGGGGGAGGAGGAAGAGGAGGAGGAAGGCCGCGACTCACCCGCGTCGTCTGGTGACGAGTCGGACTCCAGCAGTGCGTCCTCCTCCGCATCCGACGGCAGCAGCGGCGGCTCCCGCCGCCCCCAGCCCCGCCGCCCCAACAACAGCAGAAAAGCGCCCCCCAGACCCGCCGCCGGCAGCGGAATAGGCGGAGGGGGAGGCGGAGGGGGTGGGGGAAGAGGGACCCGCGCTAGCAACCGCTCTAATGCGAGACGCCGGACTGTGGAGTCGTCAGATGATGATGGGGAGGGGGACGAGGAGGAGGAGGCAGGGAGCGGGAGCGAGTCGTTTGACGAGGCTGGGGCGGGTGGAGGGGACGATGAGAGCTCGTCGGATTTCTCTGGGTCGGTGAGCGAGTCAGGGAGTGAGAGCGAGGGGCGGGGGAAGCCTCGGGCCAGGCGAGGGGGGGCTGGCGCGGGCGGAGGAGGGGGCGGGGGCGGGGGCGGGGGGAAAGGGGGGAGGAAACGCGCGCGGGGCGGGGCGGGGAGCTCGGAGAGTGAGAGCAGCGGAGGGGAGGGGCGGAAGGGGAGGTCGGGGAAGAGGGGAGGGCGGGCGGGGGTGGCGGCGAGGGAGACACGCATGTCGCGGAGGGCTGTGCCGCGCAAGTCGTACTTTGAGGATGATGAGGACTCGGACGACCTGGCGCCCCCTGCCAAGAAGAAACTCAAGGTGCGCCCCTAGCTGTCAGGGTGCGCCCCTAGCTGTCAGGGTGCGCCCCTGGCTGTCAGGGTCCGCCCCTAGCTGTAATGTGCCCAGCTGTACCGGCCCTAGCTATACCGTCCCTAGGTGTGCATCCATGCCACTGTATATTCACTGCTGTCTGTGCGTCGGTGTGAGCGCAGGGCATCGCAGCAGCGGGGGAGGAGGGCGAGGAGGAGGATGACGACATGCTGCCCGGAGGGGATGCAGCAGAGGCAGAGGCAGAGGCGGAGGGGGACGTGGTGGAGCGGGTGCTGTGGCACCAGCCGCTGGGGCGGAGTGAGGAGATGCGGGCAGCGGGGGAGCCCATGGGGCCGTGTGTGTTGGAGTATGATGTGAGCGAGGCCATCGACTGGGAGCAGCAGGAGCTGTATGTCAAGTGGAAGGGACGCTCCTTCCTGCACTGCGACTGGCTGCCCATTTCCACCCTCTCCACGGTACTGCATTCCTCTCCACCACACTGCATCCCTCTTCACGGTACTGCATCTTTTCTGCCTGTTAAGCACCCTCTCCAGCTTCTCAGCCTGTCAAGCCTTCTCCATTCCAAACTTCTTATCCTCTCCTTGCCACCCACAGCTGCCCGGGTTCAAGAAGGTGCAGAACTACATGACGTGTTTCGGACGATGAGAGGCGGTATCGCCTCTCACCCTCACAATGATGACTCCCACTCACCCTTCCACCTCTCACCATCCCGCCCTCCCTCCCGCAGCTGCCGGGGTTCAAGAAGGTGCAGAACTACATGAAGCGGGCGGACGACGAGAGGCGGTACCGTCTGAGCGTGTCAGCAGAGGAGGTGGAGGCGCTGAACGTGGGCCGCGAGATGGAGCTGGACCTGCTCAAGCAGTACTCGCAGGTGGGGTCAAGCAGCTAGTCTTGCAGGCTAGACTGGCATTTGGGGGGGTGTGGGTAGGCAGGCATGCTGCGTGCATCAGTGTGTCAGCAGAGGAGGTGCAGGCACTGAACGTGGGCCGCGAGATGGAGCTCAACCTGCTCAAGCAGTACTCGCAGGTGGGCGCGAGTGGGTAGATTTTCTGGTTATCCGGTGTGGCAAGACTCTACTTTCATGTCCGAATGGCATGTGACATGCCTGCCTTCTTGTCCCGTTTCTCCCCCCTCCTTGGTGTTTGAGTCTAGCTTGTCCTTCCCGGTTCTCCCTCCCAACCCCCACCCCTGGGCTCTTGTACTTGCCTGCCTGCGCTCATGGGTCCCAGGTGGACCGAGTGGTGGCGGAGCCTGTTTTTGAGGCGCCTTAAAAAATGACACGTGTCCTTCCTGCGTACCCTTCCCTGTTCTCCCCCCTCCACCGGGGCTATTTCCTGCCCTGCCTGCGCTCATGGGTCCCAGGTGGACAGGGTGGTGGCGGAGCGGCCAGCCAAGGCGGCAGGGGAGGCGGGGCGGGAGGGCGATGAGGTCAGCAGCTACGAGTTCTTTGTCAAGTGGAAGGGGCTCTCCTACTCCGAGGCCACCTGGTGCGTGCGTTTAATTTAAGAGCTATGTACTGTCTTGTCACCGTCCATCACCACCCTTCGCGCCTCACCACCATACTTTCACGAGTTCTTTGTCAAGTGGAAGGGGCTCTCTTACTCTGAAGCCACCTGGTGCGTTCCTTGCCTCTTAACTGAGGCCACGTGGTCAACTGAAGCCACCTGCTGCGTTCGTTCACCTCACCACCATCCCTCTCACCACCCGTCTTGCCTCACCACCATCCCTCTCACGATTTCTTTGTCAAGTGGAAGGGGCTTTTCTACTCTGAAGCCACCTGCTGCGTTCGTTCACCTCACCACCATCCCTCTCACCACCCGTCACGCCTCACCACCATCCCTCTCACGATTTCTTTGTCAAGTGGAAGGGGCTTTCCTACTCTGAAGCCACCTGCTGCGTTCGTTCACCTCACCACCATCTCTCTGAAGATCTTTGCACTTCTTTGTCACCTTCCACCACCACGCTTCGCGTCACGCCTCACCACCATCCCTCTCCCCGCCTGACCCCTTTGCTTGTTTCATGGGTGCAGGGAGGCGGAGGCAGACATAGAGTGTGCGCGGGAGGCCATAGACGATTGCAGCAAGCGTTACGCTCACTCCTTTATCCGTTTCACCTTACAATCCCCTCCCCCCCCCCCCTCCTCCCCCCCTTCCCCTCACTTTCCTCTCCCACCCCTGCCCCCCCCTCCCTCCCCCCCTGCTTGTTGCACGGGTGCAGGGAGGCGGAGGCGGACATAGAGTGTGCGCGGGAGGCGATAGACGAGTTCAAAGTGAGGGAGGCGGGAGCACTGGTGGTGGGCAAAAGCGTGGAGGCGCAACGCAAGAGCTGCCGAGGTGAGGCAGTGAGAGAGGGGATAAGGGGGAACGGCCTTAAGTCAAGCCACGTGGAGCTGGTGTGATCATATTGGAGGGTGGTGGGCAAGAGCTGGCGAGGTGGGGATTGGTGAGAGAGTGGAGCGGGGACGAGTGGGGCAGAGAGTGGGGCAGAGAGTGGGGCAGGCAGTGGAGCAGGGGGAGTGGGGCAGGGGTGAGTTGGGCAAGGGATAGTGGGAAACTGGTGTTTAGTGGTGAGTGAAGCAGCCAAAGTAAGCAGGAGGACGTGCGGGTGGGAGTAGGAGTTGTGAGGAGCATGAGCGAGCAGGTGAGACAAGGGAAGTGAAGGTTGATTGAGCTGTACAGTCTCAGATGATCTGCAGCTGAGACCCCTTGAGCTGGTGGTGTGATCTGCAGCTTGAGCTGGTGGTGTGATTCGTGACCCCTTTTGACCCCCTCCAATCCCCGTTCACACCTCTCATTTCATGTGATCCTCTCTTTTCAGTCGACTCAATACCCCCTTCCCTCTTATCCTTCCCTTTAATTCCTTCCCTCCCCCTTCACTTCCCACCCAGCCATGAGCAAGCTGGAGGCGCAGCCGGAGTGGCTCAAGGGGGCCACTCTGAGGGACTACCAGCTCATGGGTCTCAACTTCCTCATCCACAGGTGGGGTAGGCGTGGGGACACTGCAACTCGCTACACGCGGGGATACCTGCTTTCAGCATGGAAGTAGAGCAGTGGGGGGCGGGGACGGGTAAAGGGAGACACAGGGGGAGCGCTGAGGGACTACCAGCTGATGGGTCTCAACTTCCTCATCCACAGGTGGGGTAGACGTGGGGGCACTGCATCTTGACGCAGGTGGGGTAGACGTGGGGGCACTGCATCTTGATGCACGTGGGGGTTGTGGAGGACGGGAAGGGGGGGAGGTGGCAGGAGGGGATGGGGAGGAGGTGGAGGGGGGAGGTCGAGGGAGGGGTTGGGGGGAGGTGGAGGGAGGGAAGGGAGGGAGGTGGAGGGATTGCAGATTGAGTGTCTGTTTTTTGCCATTACTTCCATTCCATGTGGGAATGCTTCTATGTACATACGTGTGCATTCCCATGCTCATGCCTATAAGTGTGTGTGCGTGTATGTGTGTGTTGCATGTGTGCATGTCCGTGTGTGTGTCCGTGCGCAAGCGCATGTGATGTATGCATGCCCACGTATTTGCATGTATGCACATTTGCGAGTGTATGGTGCATGTACATGTACATGTATGTGCATGTGTGTGCGTGGGCATGTGCATGGATGCGGATGTGCATGGCAGTTGGATGAGGGACACCAATGTCATTCTGGCGGACGAGATGGGGCTGGGCAAGACCGTGCAGTCCGTCTCCATGCTTGGCTTCCTCTTTGTACGTGCATGCTCGCATGCGGATGGGATGGGGTGCATGCGGATGGGATGGGGTGCATGCGGATGGGATGGGGTGCATGCGGATGGGATGGGGTGCATGCGGATGGGATGGGGTGCATGCGGATGGGATGGGGTGCATGCGGATGGGATGGGGTGCATGCGGATGGGATGGGGTGCATGCGGATGGGATGGGGTGCATGCGGATGGGATGGGGTGCATGCGGATGGGATGGGGTGCATGCGGATGGGATGGGGTGCATGCGGATGGGATGGGGTGCATGCGGATGGGATGGGGTGCATGCGGATGGGATGGGGTGCATGCGGATGGGATGGGGTGCATGCGGATGGGATGGGGTGCATGCGGATGGGATGGGGTGCATGCGGATGGGATGGGGTGCATGCGGATGGGATGGGGTGCATGCGGATGGGATGGGGTGCATGCGGATGGGATGGGGTGCATGCGGATGGGATGGGGTGCATGCGGATGGGATGGGGTGCATGCGGATGGGATGGGGTGCATGCGGATGGGATGGGGTGCATGCGGATGGGATGGGATGCATGTGCATCGAATGTGTACTCTCGCGTTAATGCCCCCTTCAGATCGTTCCCTCCCCCCCCACCACCGCCCCCACCCCCACCCCCAACTTCCCCCGCCCCCTTCTCGTTCCTCTACCCCCTCTTCTCCTGCTTACTGATAGCGGTGCCATCAATTAAATCCTTTCCGCCTTTCTCCCCCTCTTCCCTTGGCCCCATTCTGCCAACTTCTCCTCATCTTTCTCTCAAACCCCCCCCCCCCCCCCCCGATTCCCCCCCGAACCCCCCCCCACACACGAGCAGCACATGCAGCAGATACAGGGCCCGTTCCTGATAGTGGTGCCACTCTCCACCATGAGCAATTGGGAGAGGGAGCTGCGCCGCTGGCTGCCCTCGCTCAACGTCGTGCTCTATGTCGGCAACCGCGCCTCCAGAGAGGTGAGGGTGAGGGGTGCAGAGGGGTGATGCGTGGTGCAGAGGGGTGAGTCGTGGACCGTAATACAGAGGAATGGTGTGATGGGTGCAGAGGGGTGATGCGTGGTGCAGAGGGGTGAGTCGTGGACCGTAATACAGAGGAATGGTGTGATGGGTGCAGAGGGGTGATGCGTGGTGCAGAGGGGTGAGTCGTGGACCGTAATACAGAGGAATGGTGTGATGGGTGCAGAGGGGTGATGCGTGGTGCAGAGGGGTGAGTCGTGGACCGTAATACAGAGGAATGGTGTGATGGGTGCACAGGGGTGATCTCCGCTGGCTGCCCTCCCTCAACGTCGTGCTCTATGTCGGCAACCGTGCCTCCAGCCAGAGAGGTGAGAGGGAAAGGGGTGTGGCGGAGTGGTGTGAGGTGTGCAGAGGTATGGGGGGGTTGCAGATCCTTCAGCGCTGCTGCTGGCTGCCCTCCCTCAATGTCATGCTCTACATCGTCAACAGCGCCTCCAGAGAGGTGAGGCTTGCAGATAGGTGCATTGTGCTGCAAGGTGTGGTATGAGGGTTGCAGAGTGGTGAGTTGTGCTGGAGAGGTGTGATATGAGTAGACATGAGCACAAGGGCGAACACGTTCGAGGTGAACCGAACAGGTTTGTTTTTTTTGCTTAAAGTGTTCGTCAAACAGTGTTCGAGGTTCGCCCGAACACGTTCGTGTTCGGGCCGCTGCTGCAATTTGCCCCGCGACGAAAACGACCGTGTTCGAGGTTCGCCCGAATACGCCTTCACAGGCGAACGGCGAACACCTGTTTTTTCTTTAAGTGTTCGCCGAACCGAACAGTGTTTGGTTCGGCAAACGGATGTTCGTGTTCGCCCCTTGCTCATCCCTAGATATGAGGGGTCGCGCCTCCAGAGAGGTGAGGCGTGAGAGGTGCAGGGTGTGGAATGAGGGGTGCAAAGGGGTGGCGTGGTGCAAAGGTGTGGTATGAGGGGTGCAAAGGGGTGGCGTGGTGCAAAGGAGGGAGTGTGGTGTGTGCAGGGTTGAGATTTGCAGATCGCCAGAGCCGCCACCGGCTGTCCTCCCTCAACGGCCTGCTATTTGTCAGCTGCTGCACATGCAACAAATTCAGGCCTCCTTCCTCCCCCTCTGCCCCAATATACTTCCCCCCCATCTCCAGCCAGCAGGTGGTGGAGCTGTATGACCTCTGGCAGGCGGGCAGGAAGGGCGGGCAGCAGAGAGGTGAGGGACGGGATTTGCCTCCTCAATCACTCCTTCTGTTTAACTCCTTCCCCCCCTTTCCCCCAACACTACCAGGTGGTGCAGCAGTACAAGTTCGGGCAGGTGGGCAGGAAGGGCGGGCGGCAGAGAGGTGCAGGATAGGATCTGCCTCTCTCCAATCAATCCCTCTTCTCTTGAACTCCACCCCCTCCCCGCCCCCTCCCCCCAACACTACCAGGTGGTGCAGCAGTACGAGTTCGGGCAGGCGGGCAGGAAGGGCGGGCGGCAGAGCAAGTTCCATGCGTTACTAACAACCTACGAGGTGGTGCTCAAGGACAAGGCCGTGCTCTCGCCCAGTGCCCCTATGTGACACTGCTGCTCCCACTCTCAAGTCCCCTCCTTGTGCCCCTCCCCCGCTGCCCCCTGCCACCCACTTCCCCCTCCCTCCCCTCCCTTCCCCCGCTCCGCTGCCCTTCCAACACCACCAGGTGGTGCAGCAGTACGAGTTCGGGCAGGGGGGCAGGAAGGGCGGGCGGCAGAGCAAGTTCCACGCGTTACTAACAACCTACGAGGTGGTGCTCAAGGACAAGGCTGTGCTCTCGCCCATCCGCTGGACCTACCTCATGGTTGACGAGGCTCACCGCCTCAAGAACTCTGAGGCAGCGCTCTATACTACACTCATTGTAGGTTCTCTTGTACACCACACTTGTTGTTTGTTGAGGCATGAGTAAGTAGCAGCACTCTGGTCCTCAAGGACAAGGCCGTGCTCTCGCCCATCCGCTGGACCTACCTCATGGTCGACGAGGCTCACCGCCTTAAAAACTCTGAAGCGGCCCTCTACACAGCACTTATTGTAAGCTGTTATCCACACCAAGCTAGCTTGTCCTCAAGGACAAGGCCGTGCCCTCGCCCATCCGCTGGACCTACCTCATGGTCGACGAGGCCCACTGCCTCAAGAACTCTGAAGCTGCGCTCTACACAACGCTCATTGTAAGCTAGCCTATTTATTCACTCATCATAAGCGTGCAGTGCAGGCTGCTGCAACTGTCTCATTCATGGCCAACAGCAACACCTTCTCTCTCTATCTGCTATCAGCAGTGCAGGCTGCTGCAGCTGTCCTCCATCCTCCATCATCATGGTGATGAAGGACTGTCGTGTCGACTCAACAACACCTTCTCTTTCTATCTGCTATTCTCCCACCTTCTTCCCACTCCTTTCCCCCTCTCCCCTCACCTCCCCTCAGAGCTTCCATGCGCGCAACAAGCTGTTGATCACCGGCACGCCCCTGCAGAACAGCGTGGAGGAGCTCTGGTGAGTGCAGCCGTGGGAGAGGTGTGGCAGAGCTGTGGCAGCTCAGGTCTCAGTCTCAGGTGAGAATGCCAACAGTTGTGATGAGGCCGTGCTAATGGTTGGCTGGCTGACACTGGAAAAATGCGACTTCCCGATGCCACCTCCACCTGGGTCTAGACATGTGGCTCTACATGTGGCACTACATGTGGTTCGCCTCCACTAATGTCTCTCGTTTTACACCTTGTCCACCTTCCACTCTGCCCGCCCTTCCTGGGCTCCCCCTCCCGTTGTCCTTGCTCCGCCCTTCCCCCGTCCTTGCTCCGCCCTTCCCCCGTCCTTGCTCCGCCCTTCCCCCATCCTTCCTCCGCCCCTCCCCCATCCTTGCTCCGCCCTTCCCCCATCCTTGCTCCGCCCTTCCCCCATCCTTGCTCCGCCCTTCCCCCATCCATAAGCCGTCCTCTCCTCGGCCCTATTTCTCTTCCCCCCCCCCCCCCCCCCTTCCTCTCCCCGCCCCCGTCCTATCCCCAGGGTTTGGCGACAAGGAGTAGTTTTCAGCCAAGTACAAACTCCCCCCGCCTTTTTTGCGCCCCTCCTCCTGTCGTCCTTCCTCCGCCTTTCCCTCCCGTCCTCTCCCCCCCCCCCCCCGCCCTATCCCCAGGGCGCTGCTGCATTTCCTGGACGAGAGGAAGTTTGGTGACAAGGAGGAGTTTTCAGCCAAGTACAAACACCTGCTGGAGAACCAGAGCGAGAAGGAGGTGAGGGGAGGAGGTGAGGGGCGGGTGGGGAGGAGGTGGGGGAAGGGGGGGAGGAGGAGGTGAGGTGAGGGGGGGGGGGAGGAGGTGAGGGGAGGGTGGGGACGAGGTGAGGTGAGGGTTGGGAGAAGGAGGTGAGGGGAGGGTGGGGAGGAGGTGAGGGGAGAGTTAGGAGGGTATGAGGGCAGAGCGAGGGTGAGTAGGGCAAGATGGAGGCAGTATGAGAGAAGAGTGGGGAGAAGTGCTGCAATTTTGCAGTAAACTCAGCTATGTCTGGATCAATTTTGCAGTAAACTCAGCTATGTCTGGATCAATTTTGCAGTAAACTCAGCTATGTCTGGATCAATTTTGCAGTAAACTCTTCCTGGAGGAGGGGGAGCTCCCGATCACGTCGCTGCACCATCAGCTGTGGCTGCACGTCAAATCCTCATTCTCTTTCCCCCCACCCTCCCCTTTCTCCACCCTCGCCCGCCGCTCACCAGATCACGCCGTTGCACTAGGAGCTCGCCGCACGTCACATCCTCATTCTTCCTGCTTCCCCTTCCCCCCCCTCTCCTCCCCCCCTCCCTCTCCCCTTTCTCCCCCGCCCCCTTTCTGCTCCCCACCAGATCACATCACTGCACCAGGAGCTGCGTCCGCACATGCTGCGGCAGGTGATCAAGGACGTTGAGAAGTCGCTTTGCCTACTGTGCCCAGTCTTACTCATTCTCTTACACGGCACCTCCCCTCCCCTCCCCCCCGGACCACATGCAGATCACGTCACTACACCAGGAGCTGCGCCCGCACATGCTGCGGCGAGTGATCAAGGACGTTGAGAAGTCTCTGCCGCCCAAGATCGAACGCATCCTGCGCGTTGAAATGTCGCCGCTGCAGAAGCAGTGAGTGCCGCTTTCGTTGCTGTTAAAGAAACCCTTTAAATTGAGTGGCTGTTAGGAGCTTTTCTGGAAGAGCAGTCAGTGCCTGTGCCTGTTTGCTCCTCCCTGCAAAAAATCAGTGGTTGGCTTCTTTGCCCTCTGTCTCCTCTACTCCTCTCTCCTTGCTCACCCCCCTTACTCTCTCCCACCACCCACCCCCCCCGCCCTTCCCCCTCGCAGGTACTACAAATGGATTCTGGAGCGCAGCTTCCAGAATCTGAACATGCCGTTCACATGCCTTTCCCCTCTTCCCCCTCTCCTTCCCCACCCTCCCCTCCCCCTCCCCCCCCCTGCAGGTACTACAAGTGGATCCTGGAGCGCAACTTTCAGGACCTGAACACGAACGCGCGCAGCAACCAGGTCTCTCTTCTCAACATCGTGGCGGAGCTCAATAAGTGCTGCGCAACCACCCCTTCCTCTTCCCTCTCCCTCTCTTCAGGTACTACAAGTGGATCCTGGAGCGCAACTTCCAGGACCTGAACAAGAACGCGCGCAGCAATCAGGTGTCTCTCCTCAACATTGTGGCGGAGCTCAAGAAGTGCTGCAACCACCCCTTCCCAAGCTTGCCTCCCTCTCTTCTCACATGCCTATTCACTCTCCCTCTCCCCCTCTCCTGCGCGCTCTCTCCCCTCCCGTCCTGCCCACTCTCTCCCCCGCCCCCTTCCGCTCCCCCTCCCCCTCCCCTCTTCCTCCCCCCCCTCTCAGGTACTACAAGTGGATTCTTGAGCGAAACTTTCAGGACCTGAACAAGAACGCGCGCAGCAACCAGGTGTCTCTTCTCAACATCGTGGCAGAGCTCAAGAAGTGCTGCAACCACCCCTTCCTCTTCGAGAGCGCTGACTACGGCTACGGGGGCGGGGCGGCTGGAGGGGCGCTGGACGCACAGGGCAAGGCGCAGCGGATCGTGCTGGGGAGTGGGAAGACGACTCTGCTGGATAAGCTGCTCACTCGGCTGAAAGAAACGGGGCACCGGGTGCTTATCTTCTCCCAGGTGGGTTTGAAGTGGTCTGATTTTATTAAGGGCACCTGAAAGGACTGTAAGAGGGGCGCTGGATGCACAGGGCAAGGCGCAGCGGATCGTGCTGGGGAGTGGGAAGACGACTCTGCTGGATAAGCTGCTGACGCGGCTTAAAGAGACGGGCCACCGTGTTCTCATCTTCTCCCAGGTGGGTTTGATTACATGTGATATGATCTTATCTGATTTGGGCTTCTGAAAGGGCGCTAATTTGAGGCAGTTTTAGAAGCGTTGATGCTCCTGGGGAGGAAGTGTCATTGTGGTTCGAACCATGGTGACCAACTATTGTTTCAACTCTTCCTTTCCAACACACCCACCCACACTCAGATGGTGCGCATGTTGGACATTCTAGCCGACTACCTGGCTTTGAGAGGCTTCCAGTTCCAGCGCCTGGACGGCAGCACGAGGGCGGACCTGAGGCAGCAGGCCATGGAACACTTCAATGCGCCTGGCAGTGACGACTTCTGCTTCCTGCTCTCCACCCGGGCTGGCGGATTGGGGATTAATCTTGCCACGGCTGACACTGTTATTATCTTTGACTCCGACTGGAACCCGCAGAACGACCTGCAGGTGAGGCAGCGTGTGCGGGTCTGGGCTGGTTACTTGGACGTGTGTCTGGCTGGCTTGGAAAGGCAGGCAAGAGAAGAGACACTCAGTAGGCAGCAGGCCATGGAGCATTTCAACGCGCCCGGCAGTGACAACTTCTGCTTCCTGCTCTCCACGCGTGCGGGCGGGCTGGGGATCAACCTCGCCACGGCTGACACAGTCATAATTTTTTACTCGGATTGGAACCCACAGAACGATCTTCAGGTGAGCAGGCACAATCTCTAGAAATGCCCCACCCGAATATGTGCTGCCTGTCGCCCGCCTTACCCTGCTTGCCCCCCTGTCGCCCCCCATGCCCTTACACTGCAGGCCATGAGTCGCGCGCACAGGATAGGGCAGCAGGACGTGGTGAACATCTACCGGTTGACGAGTGGCAGCGTGGAGTGTGGTGTACGGAAGAAGGGATTCCTCTGGCCCTCCCTCAGAGCCTTTGTTTTGCCTGTCCCCTTCCTCCCGTGCCCTCCCACGCCAGGCCATGAGTCGCGCGCACAGGATAGGGCAGCAGGACGTGGTGAACATCTACCGGTTTGTGACGAGTGGCAGTGTGGAGGAGGACATATTGGAGCGCGCCAAGCGCAAGATGGTGTTGGACCACCTCGTCATCCAGAAGCTCAACGCCGCTGGGCGCCTCGAGAAGACGCAGAGCAAGAAGAGCAGCTCCATGTTTGATAAGGTGCAGTGCGGTGGGGAGTGGTGGTGAGGGGATGGATGCATTGGGGTAGTGTGAGATGGTGCTGGACCACCTCGTCATCCAGAAGCTTAAGGCCGCTGGGAGATTGGAGAAGACTCAAAGCAAGAAGAGCAGCTCCATGTTTGATAAGGTGGGGTGCGGTTGGGTGGGGTGGAGGGTGCGTGTAGGGGGAAGGGGAGGGTGTGTGGGCGTTAGGGGAGGTGGTGGGGATGGCGAGATGGGGTAGAGATGCTGGGTGGAGATGGTGGATGAGGTGGGGTGGGAGAGCAGGGAGAGCAGGGAGAGCAGGGAGAGCAGGGAGAGCAGGGCACTGAGCGGTGGGTTGTGACGTGTGGCAGCGTGGAGGAGGACATTCTGGAGCGCGCCAAGCGCAAGATGTTGCTGAAATAGCGACCCCTATGAATAGCGACCCCTGTGAATAGCGACCCCTGTGAATAGCGACCCCTGTGAATAGCGACCCCTGTGAATAGCGACCCCTGTGAATAGCGACCCCTGTGAATAGCGACCCCTGTGAATAGCGACCCCTGTCCCTTCCAGAACGAGTTGGCGGCCATTCTACGGTTCGGCGTGGAGATGTGTTCAAGGAGGGGGTGAGCGAGGAGTAGAGCGCCAGCCTCTTCAACATTCTTGCCCTTATTCCCTGTCCCTCCCTACCCATCAGAACGAGTTGGCGGCCATTCTGCGATTCGGTGCAGAGGAGCTGTTTAAGGAGAAAGTGAGCGAGGAGGAGGGCGCCAGTCGGCTGGAGAATCTGGACATTGATGAGATCCTGGCACGCGCTGAGAAGATCGACAGCAGCACCGCTGGGGAGGGCGCTAATGAGCTTCTATCTGCATTCACTGTGAGTCCTGTTAGGTGTTGAGATTGTTTGGGTGGGTGAGTGTGCATGTGTGCGTGCATGTGCATGTGCGAGCCGGCTGGAGAATCTGGACATTGACGAGATCCTGGTACGGGCTGAGAAGATCGACAGCAGCACCGCTGGGGAGGGCGCCAACGAGCTGCTCTCCGCGTTTACCGTGAGTGCCTTTAGGCTTTGACATTGTGTGTGTGGGTGTGCGTGCATGTGCATGTGCGAGCTGGCTGGAGAATCTGGACATTGATGAGATCCTGGCGCGCGCTGAGAAGATCGACAGCAGCACTGCTGGGGAGGGCGCTAATGAGCTGCTCTCTGCCTTCACTGTGAGTCAGCCAAGGGCGTGGGAGTGTGTGTTGTTTGATGTGCAACATGCGTGCATGTGCGAGCCGGCTGGAGAATCTGGACATTGATGAGATCCTGGCGCGCGCTGAGAAGATCGACAGCAGCACTGCTGGGGAGGGCGCTAATGAGCTGCTCTCTGCCTTCACTGTGAGTCAGCCAAGGGCGTGGGAGTGTGTGTTGTTTGATGTGCAACATGCGTGCATGTGCGAGCCGGCTGGAGAATCTGGACATTGACGAGATCCTGGCACCGAGAAGATCGACAGCAGCTCCGCAGGGGAGGGTGCTAATGAACTGCTCTCCGCGTTTACTGTGAGTCTCTTAGAGAGAGTGTGGTGAGTGTGTGTTTGTTCACTGAGCGAGTGCCGGAGTGAGTGTAGATGCGAAGGAGAGGAAGCAGGTGGAAGAGTGAGGAGTATGAGTATGGCTGAGTGGCTCACCAAGAGTTGCTGTCTTTGTCTTCATGAGAGTGTGAAGACATTGAGAGTGTGAAGACATTGAGAGTGTGAAGACATTGAGAGTGTGAAGACATTGAGAGTGTGAAGACATTGAGAGTGTGAAGACATTGAGAGTGTGGTAATACTACATCGAACACACTCTTCTTCCTTCACTTACCCTTGCTCCCCCATCCTGCTTCCTCTTCCCGCCTCATCCCCCCCTCCCCCCCCCCCCCCCCCAGGTGGCGAATTTCAGCAGCACTGAGAACGACGCTGCGTTCTGGAGTCGACTCATCCAGGCAGCCCCAGCAGAGGAGGAGAAGGCGCTGGGGCCGCGCTCCTCCCGCCGCCACCACACCTACACCGGCGATGGGCTTCATGGGGATGCTGACGACGAGGACGAGGAGGGCAGAGAGGGGAGAGGTGGTAGGCGGGGAGGGAAGGACGGTGGCGGGAAGAGGAAGCGAGGGCGGAGGGAGCAGGGGGATGGGGGTGGGGAGGAGGGCGGGTATCCTGCTGCTGCGCCTGCTGTGGAAGGGGCGCTGGTGCGGATTACTCAGTGGACGGTGCAGGGGGAGGGGGAAGGGGGAGGGGGGGCAGAGGGGAAGGGGACAGGGGCAGGGGCAGGGGCGGATGCAGCAGAGGGGGGAACGGGAGCCGGGGCAAGGGAAGCTGGTGGTGGTGGTGCTGCTGGTGCAGCTGCTGCTGCTGGTACAGCTGGTGGTTCTGCTGGTGTGAAGGTTCGGCGGCTATCCAAGCGAGACGCCAACGCCTTTGTCAAGGCAGTGCGGCGGTACGGAGGAGCAGAGAGGGCCGCACAGATGACAGCGGAGGCCGGCGGTGCGATCGAGGCAGCGAGCGAAGCAGAGAGGCGGTCCCTCCACACACTACTCATGCAGGCCTGCAAAGACACTGTCCGAGCCGCCGCAGCAGCAGAGGAAGATGAAGCATTGGGAGCAGCAGGAGCAGCAGCAGCAGCAGCAGGAGGGTCGGCAGCGGCAGGGAAGATCCCTCTTTTGGATTTCTTCGGTGTGGCAGTGAAAGCCCCGGAGCTCCTGCACCGGGTGAAAGAGCTACAGTTTCTGGCGAAGCGGGTGGAGCGGGTGAGCGACCCCGTGAAGCAGTTCCGCCTGCGGTCGCATGCGCGCGTGCCCTCATGGGCTAAGACCACTTCTTGGACGCCTGTGGATGATGCGAGGCTGCTGCTAGGAGTGCACTTCCATGGGTTTGGCAACTGGGAGCAGGTTCGGCTGGACGAACGGCTGGGATTGGAGAATAAGATCGCACCGCCGGGATCGACGGGTGGGATTGGGGGAGGTGGAGAGGGGAAGCTGCCCAGAGGGAGCCATTTGGATGCACGGGCGTCTGCTCTGCTGCGCAAGGTAGGGTGCCTGTGGAGGGAGGAGAGGGGGATACGGAGAAAGTGTGGTTGGGGTGATTGTTGGTTAAGCAAGTGTGGGTTGAGTGGGGGTTGAGTGGGAGGGTGTGAGTGCTCGTGTCAGTAGTGCGTTTCGAGCCTTCAAGGCCCATCCTTTGCACCTTTGTTCCTGAAACCCCAACCATCCCCCCACCAACTTGGTCCCTCAGGAGCTCGAGGCTGATCCTCACCACGCCAAGGCTGCAGCAGCAGCCAACGCCCTCAAGGTCAAGATCAAGGTGCGAGGAGGAGGCAAGGGCGCGTTTGCTGCTGGCTCTGCTGCTGCTTCTGGCGCTGACGAAGCCGTTGCTCTGGGTGGGGGACGGAGAGGCGGGGGTGGGAGGGAGGAGAGAGGGCGGAGAGGGCGAGGGGGGGAGAGGGAGCGGGAGAGGAGGCATGGTGGGGAGAGGGAGGGGCGGAGGCGGGGGAGGAGGGAGGAGGAGAAGGAGAAGCGGTCTCCGGAGAAGGAAAAGGAGGCTGAGGAGGCGAAGGAGGAGGGGGAGATCTCCGAAGGGGAGGACGCCGCTGCAGCAGGGGCAACAGCAGCCGCCGCCGCCGCAGCAGCAGGGGCAGCAGGCGGAGGAGGGAGCAAGGTCGGGAAGGAGGAGGAGGGGGTCGCAGGAGGAGCAGGAGCCGCAGGAGGAGGAGTGGGTGTGGGAGAGGGTGGGGAGGGGAGGCGCGGAGTGGCGTGGTGCAAAGGGAGGCTGGCCCCTCAGGACAGTGTGCTGCAGCGGCTGAAGCGGCTTCAGACGCGGCAAGAGCTGTCACCCAAGGAGGTGACGCAGAAGGTGAAGAAGTACCTGAGACAGCTGGGCCATGAGATCGACAGCGTCATGAAGCGCGAGGCCAGCGATGCCACCCTCCCTCGCCCCCACCTACAGAGTCAGTCCTGCCTCTCGCCCTCTCCTTCTCCTCTTATCCTTCTCCTTCTCCTACTCCTTCTCCTTCTCCTCCTCCTTTTCCGTCTGCTCCTTCTGAATCTGAGTCACTTTGCATAGCTATTGAGAGTGAGTGAAAGAGAGCTGTCTCCCAAGGAAGTGACGCAGAAGGTGAAGAAGTACCTGAGGCAGCTGGGGCATGAGATCGACAGCGTGATGAAGCGCGAGGCCAGCGATGCCACCCTCCCTCGCCCCCACTTACAGAGTGAGTTCCGGCTTTTGCTTGCCTCCTACTCCTTCTCCTCCTCCTCTCACATGCTGTGGGACGATGCACCTGCTTGCTGCGATGGCGCAAGAACACACCTCGCATTCTTCTTGCCTCCCCACCGCTGCCCCCGTCTCTGTCCCGCGTCAACGTCCCTGCGGGACTACGCGGCTCTGCACTCGCACCTGTCCGGCACCCGCTTGGCCGACATCTACTGACCGTCTTCCCAACTCTGCTCTCCGTCTCTTCTCCCCCAATCTGCCTCTTGTGTGCAGAGACCTATGAGGACTTGTGGGACTACATGGCTCTGCACTCACACCTGTCCGGCATCCGACAGTCTTCCCACCTCTGCTCCTCACCTCCGCTCCCCATCTCTGTCCCTCCCCTCCACTTCCCCGCAGAGATCTCTGAGGACTTGTGGGACTACGTGGCTCTGCACTCACACCTGTCCGGCACGCGATTGGCTGACATTTACCGCAAGCTGAGGGATGATCGTGGGAGTGATGGGAAGGAAGGCGGAGAGAAGGAGCGAGAGCGCGAGCGGGAACGGGAGAAGGAGAGGGATAGAGAGAGAGGAAGGGATAAGGATAGGGATAGGGAGAGGGAAAGGGAGAGAGAAAGGGAGAGGGAAAGGGAGAAGGATAAGGAAAGGGGCACTGAAAAGGATAGGGACAAGGACAGGGAGCGGAGCAGGGAGAGAAAATGGAGGGAGGAGAGGGGGAGAGGAGACGAGCATTCGAAGGAGCAGGATGAGAAACACAGGAATGAGAGGCACAGAGACGAGAAGAACAGAGATGATAGGCACCGGCAGGAGGAGCATAGAACACACAGAGAGCACAGAGAGCATAGGGAGCACAGGGAACATAGGGAACACAGGGAACATAGGGAGCATAGAGAGCATAGGGAGCATAGGGAGCATGGAAAGGGTGTGAAAGGAGAAGCAAGGGGTTGGGAGAGAGGCGAGGCTGAGAGGGCGCGTGACAGAGGGAGAGACAGGCGTGGTTCTTCCGAGCCTAGGAGTGCCCAAATGACTCCCGACCCTGGCACTGCCGTACCACCTACTGCCGAACCTGCGCAGAGGCCGCACCGTCTTTCCGAACCTGGCCGAGAGGCTCGGGACCCAGCGCAGCGAGACGCGATGGATGGTTCAGGGGGGCGGTCGTTTAAGGTTCGGGAAGGGGGGAGGTGGGAGAGGGAGAGGGAGAGAGGGCGGGAACGAGAGGGGGAGAGAGGGAGGGAAGGGGAGCGGGATAGAGAAAAAGGAAGAGGGAGGGAGTGGAGAGAAGGAGGAGAAAGGGATGGGGCTTGGGCGGCAGAGAGGAGGAGATCAGACGGACGAGATTCAGATCGGCCTTCTGGTGGTGGTTGGGGGAGAGGAGATGGGGGAGACGGCGGGTCTGGGAAGGGTGGAGAGAGGGGAGGGGAGAGGGGGGAGGAGAGGGGAGGGGAGAGAGGAGGGGAGAGGGAGGAGGAGAGGAGCGAGGCATGGAAGCGGAGGTGGAGAGATGGGGAGGGGCCTTCCTCCTCTGCCCCTGTGTCTGGTGCAAGCAGCCCTCACAGAATGGGCAATGGGCAGGTGAGGGAGGGAGGAGGGGAGGGGGGAGAGGATGCAGGCAACGGCAACGGGCGGATGGATAGCAGAGCAGAAGGCCCTGGGGGAGGAGGGGAGCGCAGGAGAAATTCCAGAGATGCCGGAGATGGCAGAGATGCCAGAGATACCCCTCCAGGTGTCCCCAGGGATGTATCCAGAGACACACCCAGAGATGCACCCAGGGATGTATCCAGAGACACACCCAGAGATGCACCCAGAGATGTATCCAGAGACGCCTCAAGAGAGGCTCCTCGTGATGCCCGCCCTCCACGCCCTCCGCCTCCCCCTGCTCTTTCTGACGCCCGTGCGTCGAGAATGGGGGCTGGTGCTGGTGCGGGCCGGGGCGAGGATGGGGAGGTGGCGAAAGGGGCGGTGCAGGGTGCTGGTGCGGGTAAGTGGGGGGGTGGAGGAGGGGACAGGGAGATAGAGGCAGGGGAAGCGGGGGAGTTGGGGGCAGTGGCCGAGGAGGGCATCGTGCAGGAGTGAATGAGTGAGGGATTGGGTTGGGAGGGAAAGGAATGACAGGAACGAGATCAGTCACATGGAGTTGCAGGGGTCAGACTCCAGTAGGGTAGTTGTGAGAACTGGCTTTGCTATTTGTAGGAGAATGATAGGTAGTTGTGGCCTGTGCCACTCGCCTCTTGTCGAAGTGATGCCGCTGTAGAAAGGGGGAACACTGCCGGTTATGTCTTGTCGTGTATACAGAGATCAAGTGGAAAATTTACAGATTTGAACAAGGAATTTTGGTGCAAGGAATACGGGGCCACCCGCTGTACCTGTTTATTCAGCCACTTCAACCATCCAAACACCACCACCTATGATGTGTTCGAACAGCTGGCAAGCAACCACAGGTGATTTGTCTGGAAGGTGGAGAAATTAAACCACAAAATACTTTGTGTCATTTGCTTGCTCTCAAAAGTGTTTACTTTCGCCATTGGTGATCGCCGGTCGGGGTCGCGCCCGATTGTAACCCAAGTGGGGGCCAAACCTTGGGATTGTCGCACACTTGCGAGACCCTCGGCCTGCCACATGAATGACTCGTCCACTCCAAGTTGAGAGTCCGCAGCGGCATCATTCCGGAAGGGGTGGTGACGTGGCGGTTAGAGAGGGGGGCACCGCGTGAGGCGGGAAACCGAGCAGCGAAAACCCCCCGCTCCCAGCGGTGGAGGGATAGCGAGGCTGAGTGCGCGGCCGAGGTTTCCCTCGCAGGCTAGGGCCACGAGACCATTCACCACCCTTTTGCTTTCCTCGCAGAATTTATTCGGAATTAGTTGGGCCTTTCCCCCCTGCCCTTTTTTTTTTGTCCGTTACGTCGCTCAGCAATTGCGTGACACTAGGTTTCCCGGTTGTGCGAGACATCGTCGTCGACATCAGCAATGCCCGTGCGCGCGTTTCCCTTCCAGTGCACCGCGTACCGCCGTGCGTGCGCACAGTCCTGATAGTCATACGGTCTGCCCGACTCACTCGCGTGTCCCCGCATTAGAGCGGTAGCGCCGGTAGATTTTGCCTAGCACTTGCGCCCAATGCTCGCGCGCACCGCAGCATCACTCGCCGTCCCCCTCATCTCCGCAGCCCCTGCGCGCATTGCGCTTTTCCGCGCGCCGATGAACGAATTCATGCGCTTTGCCCACGTTGGCGCTGTCCGTGGTGGGCCGGCAGGAGACGGCTGGTCGGCAGGGAAAAGCGAACGCGCACGGGATGGTGAAGCATTAGGGAGCATGGGGCCAGCAGGCACAAGAGTTTACAGCAGGCGCGCACGGGGGGGGAGAAAGGCGACAATCATTTTGCAGTATGAAGAGGAGTGTAAAGAAGAAGACAGTAACGGGAACGGGCAAGAGGCAATGCAGGTCGCGAGGCGCAGGTCTGCGAGGCAGAAAACGGGTGTGGCTGTAAAGAGGGAAACGGTCGAGGTGATTGTGAAGGGGGAATTAGAGGAGTTGACTGCAATGCAACAAGCATGCGATGTGGTTGTGAAGCGAGAGTCGGATGACATGACTGTAAAGAGAGGAGGTGACGTGACTGTAAAGAGAGGAGGTGACGTGACTGTAAAGAGAGGAGGTGACGTGACTGTAAAGAGGGAGGCGGAGGATGTGATTGTGAAGAGAGAGGAGGTTGGTCCCATGTTAGCCAGGGACGCACGTGCAGCTGAAGCTGATGGAATGGCTGTAGCCGAGGCTGGAGGTTTGGCTGTGACCGAGACTGATGGCATGGCTGTAGCTGGGACTGAAGCCACGGTTGCAGCAGAGGCTGATGGAATGGTTGTAACCGAGGGTTCTTGGGGTGGTGGCAGGGGCAGAAGGAAACGAAGGCAGCCGGCAGAGAGAGATGCTGATAGCGAAGCTGGGGGGGAAATCGTTGTTGCCGGGCAGCCGAAAAGATTCTCCGGCGGGCAGGCAAAAAGGGCAGGGGTGGGGAGGTGGCAGGAGGTGGTAGCTGCAATCAAGGAGATGCGGAGTGGGGTGGACGCGCCTGTTGATACCATGGGGTGTGAGAAGGCAGGGCAGGGCATGGCTGACAAGGTGGGTCAGTCAGGGCAAGGGGCAGGAGATGGGACGGGGTATGGTGTGGATTAGAAAGTAAAAATTACGGAAACGGGAAGTGTTCTTCTTACATGGTCATCAGGCGTTGTTGCTGGAAAATGTCACCTGGGAAACAGTCGGCATAAAGGAAGTGTTCTACTTACATGGTGACTTTTGAGTCGACTCAAAAGGAAGTGTTCTACTTACATGGTGACTTTTGAGTCGACTCAAAAGGAAGTGTTCTACTTACATGGTGACTTTTGAGTCGACTCAAGAGGAAGTGTTCTACTTACATGGTGACTTTTGAGTCGACTCAAAAGGAAGTGTTCTACTTACATGGTGACTTTTGAGTCGACTCAAGAGGAAGTGTTCTACTTACATGGTGACTTTTGAGTCGACTCAAAAGGAAGTGTTCTACTTACATGGTGACTTTTGAGTCGACTCAAAAGGAAGTGTTCTACTTACATGGTGACTTTTGAGTCGACTCAAAAGGAAGTGTTCTACTTACATGGTGACTTTTGAGTCGACTCAAAAGGAAGTGTTCTACTTACATGGTGACTTTTGAGTCGACTCAAAAGGAAGTGTTCTACTTACATGGTGACTTTTGAGTCGACTCAAAAGGAAGTGTTCTACTTACATGGTGACTTTTGAGTCGACTCAAAAGGAAGTGTTCTACTTACATGGTGACTTTTGAGTCGACTCAAAAGGAAGTGTTCTACTTACATGGTGACTTTTGAGTCGACTCAAAAGGAAGTGTTCTACTTACATGGTGACTTTTGAGTCGACTCAAGAGGAAGTGTTCTACTTACATGGTGACTTTTGAGTCGACTCAAAAGGAAGTGTTCTACTTACATGGTGACTTTTGAGTCGACTCAAAAGGAAGTGTTCTACTTACATGGTGACTTTTGAGTCGACTCAAGAGGAAGTGTTCTACTTACATGGTGACTTTTGAGTCGACTCAAAAGGAAGTGTTCTACTTACTTGGTGACTTTTGAGTCGACTCAAGAGGAAGTGTTCTACTTACATGGCGACTTTTGAGTCGACTCAAGAGGAAGTGTTCTACTTACATGGCGACTTTTGAGTCGACTCAAAAGGAAGTGTTCGGCGACTTTTGAGTCGACTCAAAAAGAAGTGTTCTACTTACATGGCGACTTTTGAGTCGACTCAAAAGGAAGTGTTCTACTTACATGGCGACTTTTGAGTCGACTCAAAAGGAAGTGTTCTACTTACATGGCGACTTTTGAGTCGACTCAAAAGGAAGTGTTCTACTTACATGGCGACTTTTGAGTCGACTCAAAAGGAAGTGTTCTACTTACATGGCGACTTTTGAGTCGACTCAAAAGGAAGTGTTCTACTTACATGGCGACTTTTGAGTCGACTCAAAAGGAAGGGAAGTGTTCTACTTACATGGCGACTTTTGAGTCGACTCAAAAGGAAGTGTTCTACTTACATGGCGACTTTTGAGTCGACTCAAAAGGAAGTGTTCTACTTACATGGCGACTTTTGAGTCGACTCAAAAGGAAGTGTTCTACTTACATGGCGACTTTTGAGTCGACTCAAAAGGAAGTGTTCTACTTACATGGCGACTTTTGAGTCGACTCAAAAGGAAGTGTTCTACTTACATGGCGACTTTTGAGTCGACTCAAAAGGAAGTGTTCTACTTACATGGCGACTTTTGAGTCGACTCAAAAGGAAGTGTTCTACTTACATGGCGACTTTTGAGTCGACTCAAAAGGAAGTGTTCTACTTACATGGCGACTTTTGAGTCGACTCAAAAGGAAGTGTTCTACTTACATGGCGACTTTTGAGTCGACTCAAAAGGAAGTGTTCTACTTACATGGCGACTTTTGAGTCGACTCAAAAGGAAGTGTTCTACTTACATGGCGACTTTTGAGTCGACTCAAAAGGAAGTGTTCTACTTACATGGCGACTTTTGAGTCGACTCAAAAGGAAGTGTTCTACTTACATGGCGACTTTTGAGTCGACTCAAAAGGAAGTGTTCTACTTACATGGCGACTTTTGAGTCGACTCAAAAGGAAGTGTTCTACTTACATGGCGACTTTTGAGTCGACTCAAAAGGAAGTGTTCTACTTACATGGCGACTTTTGAGTCGACTCAAAAGGAAGTGTTCTACTTACATGGCGACTTTTGAGTCGACTCAAAAGGAAGTGTTCTACTTACATGGCGACTTTTGAGTCGACTCAAAAGGAAGTGTTCTACTTACATGGCGACTTTTGAGTCGACTCAAAAGGAAGTGTTCTACTTACATGGCGACTTTTGAGTCGACTCAAAAGGAAGTGTTCTACTTACATGGCGACTTTTGAGTCGACTCAAAAGGAAGTGTTCTACTTACATGGCGACTTTTGAGTCGACTCAAAAGGAAGTGTTCTACTTACATGGCGACTTTTGAGTCGACTCAAAAGGAAGTGTTCTACTTACATGGCGACTTTTGAGTCGACTCAAAAGGAAGTGTTCTACTTACATGGCGACTTTTGAGTCGACTCAAAAGGAAGTGTTCTACTTACATGGCGACTTTTGAGTCGACTCAAAAGGAAGTGTTCTACTTACATGGCGACTTTTGAGTCGACTCAAAAGGAAGTGTTCTACTTACATGGCGACTTTTGAGTCGACTCAAAAGGAAGTGTTCTACTTACATGGCGACTTTTGAGTCGACTCAAAAGGAAGTGTTCTACTTACATGGCGACTTTTGAGTCGACTCAAAAGGAAGTGTTCTACTTACATGGCGACTTTTGAGTCGACTCAAAAGGAAGTGTTCTACTTACATGGCGACTTTTGAGTCGACTCAAAAGGAAGTGTTCTACTTACATGGCGACTTTTGAGTCGACTCAAAAGGAAGTGTTCTACTTACATGGCGACTTTTGAGTCGACTCAAAAGGAAGTGTTCTACTTACATGGCGACTTTTGAGTCGACTCAAAAGGAAGTGTTCTACTTACATGGCGACTTTT